TGGGCAGTACCCCCGGGCCGTGCTGAGCGCTCCGGCCCTGCCGCCCGCGGCACCCACTGCCCCCTCCGAGCGATTCAGGCCCCTCGGCAGCAAAGGAGTGTGCAGAAATCGGGTCTGGGATGTGCTAAGTGTTTACTTAAACAGGGCGAGTAAAACCTTGTGTGTACACGGAGATTTGTGCAGTGATTGCTTCAGGCACTGGTCTTGCATCCATATCTTAAAGATAGCTATGTCAGTACAAACTAAATCTGTCCTTAATCATTCTACTTCACTGTTCTTCAGATATCTGTATAGAAGCTGCCTATGTCCCGTTGCAGTTCTGAAGTTGTTTTGCTATCATGCAGACCTAGAATTACCAGCATGTTTCCAAGTAGTTTGTGAATTATACATGGGGCATTTTTTCCTGCAATGATTGGTATAACTGATCTATCACTGGGGCTTTTAAGAACTCAACTAATCTTAACTAACTTTATTGTTTAAGTTGCAAGGTTAATAAAAAGTAACATCATACTCAGTGTTCGGTGCCTGAGGCAGTGTTTTTAAAAATCTTGATTTAATTCTGACATTGATGGCTAATATCTCTTTGTTGCTAGTAGATTCAAATGGAGTCTCAGTATCTGAAGACGTGCCTGGGAAGTTGCTTGAAAAAGGGACTGGCAGAGGTTGTAGAACATCGGCCAGCAGATCCAATAGAGTACCTTGCACATTGGATTTACAATTACAGAAGAAATTTAGATGAAGAGAAGAAGGTGGATCCATCTTCGGGGGTGTGGGGGGGGGAATCATTACAGTATAATTGATGCTATTGAATATCTCTTATTTTTTTAACTGATTCTGTGTGACCTCCAAAATAGAAAGTGTTGGAGAGAACTGAGCTGGAACAAGAAAAGGAGGCAGCCCTAGCAGAGCTTGAAAGGTTAAGAAAAATCGAAGAAGAGCAAATGATCCAGCAGAAACTTGAAGAACAGCATCAAGTTAGTAACAACAGATAATTCTAAATAGCATATAGTGCTGTGGCATCTTGCAGCTTTTTGTATACTTCTAATCTCCATACAATTTTGATGAAGGTGGCATAAACCAAGTATTTTAATATCATTTTTCTGAATAGTGAAATTATTAGTTAGCACTTGGGGAAGAAAACTTACATACTGTGCAGTAAAATATTGCTAAAAATGATGGTGCTTAAACTAAAAAGCAACCAATTTAAGACTTACATGAGCAGTAACTGAAAATAAGTAGGCTGTCCTCTGTAAATTATGGATGAGAGCTGGTGCCAATAAAGGTAGAAATCATTGCAAAAATTTGTGATAAGCCTGCCAAGATGTCTGGGAGTAATAACCAATCATTGTCTCAGGCTACTTCAGTACAATATCAATAATGCAAAAAAAGTTAATGTATACACAATTTCAGAGCCCTGAAAATTGTTGGGAATCAATGAATGAGGATTGCATATTTAAGCAGTATATATAGCTTGATCCAGAGAGGTACCTTTTTCTTTCCTTAGCTACCTGAGCATTCTGCTGGCATAAAGCAATTGGAATCCTATACTATTTGAACTTACAATATGAAAAATAAGTGGAACATCTGTATTCTTAGCTATTATTTATAAGGGAGTAATGTGAACTTGACCACCTGTGTAACAACCTCAGTGTTGCTGTGGTAATGTTGACATGATCTGACTAAATTTTTTTATATGGCTGATTTTCATGATGTTAGAATCAAAAGCATTAAATTCGTGCTGATCATGTTAAACCCAGTTCTAGTGTAAGATGCATTCATCCTATTTAATTTGGAATTTACTCATTTGCAGACCAAAAATTATGTGCATAAAGATTTTATGAGTCGTTTAAAATAGTAAATGGGAAAAAGAGTATGAAATTGTGTCTAGACATAATTCACAGAGAAATAAATAATTTCATTGAAACTATGGGGAAGATATTGAATAATACTAGAGAAATAAATAAATAATTTCATTTAAACTATGGGGAAGATATTGAATAATACTTAAGTTAGATGCATTTTTTAACCTAACGCACAATTTTGGCTGTAGTCAAGTAATCAGGCAAGTTTTGATTATATGTACTAAAAAGGAATATGAAAATTAGTTACTACACTATGACCATATTTTATCGTAACTACTCACAAAATGTAACAGCAAACAGTGTCCTTTAGTGCTGTTGAATCTAAATACTTAGATTATGCAGTCTCTGAAGCTGTCATGCAACAGGACTTACACTCACAAATATGAAACACTTTCTATTAGACATTTCGGATTGGAAACATTAAAGGTTGTTGGGGGATGTGATTAATGTTAATGACATTGCTTACCAGTCTTTTCTATGAGTTTGATTCTATATTGATTCATCTGTCTGTGCTAGTTACTACACAAAGTATCAAGGAGCTTAATCCAAAGAACAGGAGATAAATAATACAGGCTGATAAAGACCATGGGAATGAGACAGTATCAAAAGTGTGTACACTAACTTCACTGTTTCTTCTTCCTCTTGGTAGTAAAGCCTTTCTATCCATGAGAGTCTAAAATCTTTGAAAATGTTGAGCCAGATGATACTGAAGGGACTTTGTTATTAACTTTGAAGTTATGTTTTATGCTCCCTTTTTATTATGGTTTCAGTTTTGAAATACATTATAAGCAATGTGGTGGAAAAGATTAATGTGAATTTTTTCTTTCTAATTTATCCTTTCTTTAACTGACTGCAGGTTCAGTTGGAGAAAGAACGTGAGGAGTTGGAACAGCAGCATGAAGAAGATGAAAAGCTGTTGCAGCAGGAAGATAAAGAGGTTTAAGCCAAAGCTTAGTAATTGGTTTGAAAATACTGTTAATCAGCCATCATTTCCTGATGCAGTCATCAATTACCAAACACAAGGCAGAAGTCCATGGGTGTTGAACTAACACACAATGAAAACCAAATTGTGTAGATGGAGGAAAAATGTCTAACACTTTTTTTTTGCAGTCTGGGTTTTATACTTGAATTTGGCCTGTTCTATTAGGTTTATTTAGTTTATATTTGGAATAGAACATAAATTTATTGCAGAATTTAGCTTAAGGCCAGCTTAGCTGATGCTTCTGCATTCCTTGAAGGTGATTACAAGAAAGTATTACAACATAAGCAGGTCTAACAAGTATTGAGAGAGTAAAGTTTTATAGGATGTTAGCAGGAAGACCATTTATTGTACCTGGAGAAGGAACTATGGTTTGGAATTACAATGCCTCTTGATCTTCCTGGGGTATGGAAATTTATACTAACAGAAGAGTGTGTATACAGATGTCTGTGTAAATACATGGTCTTTTAATGCTGCTTCAGTAAAAACACACTGATAATTGACATGTTTATCTCAACAAAGCTTTAAGTTTTTGTGGAGCACATTGTCTTTCAGAAATATGTTGAGGTTTTAGAGCACTCAGTTAAAATACTGACAGAACAAAATTGTAGAAAGAAGACAGTACAAAAATAACAGAAAAAAATGAATGTGTAGAAATTTAAAGTCAGTGTTACTTAAAAAAATAGTCTTAGGCATACAAAGATCATATTCACATACTAACAAAATTGTATAGCTCTTACCTAGAGTGTTCTCTTTATATTAATACACAATGTCATTTTAACACACCTAAAATTGCTTTCTATAGATTTCATGACATGGAATATTTTTAACTGAAAACTGGTTTTCATTATCATAGGAAAATGGAACAATGGCTGAACTTTTGGAAGGACCTGGATCATCTAATTTGAGCGAAGCTGAGGAGCTAGATGTAAATGGACAGTTTGAGGTAGGTGTTTGGAAAGAGATTATGAATGACTGATTGATTTTTTCAGATTGGCCTTTTCTGTGCTGACCTATCAAAGGTTAAAACTGTTGCTGGTTCTTTCCTATGGTTTTAAAGGATGGTGTTTTGGCCACAGCCTCCAAACTGCCCGTAGCCTCTTCACTGATACAAGTTAAGCCATTCTAAAAGACTCTATGGTGTTGGCTGACTAAATCCTCAAGATCTAAACTGCCTTTTTGTATTCAGACATGTTACTGGTGAAAGTATGAATATACTCAGAGAGGAGGCAACATTCCCTTGCTGTGTGAACGGTCTCATATACAACATGTACTAAATCACTAAAGTTGACTCACTTTTGAGCAATTGAAGTTATTTACATTTTTTCTGGTTGATTTGTAATATATTTTTTGTGCAACAGAATGCACTTGTGCAGAGATATCTGAGTAAGCATTTAACATATAACAGCAGATACTAAGGACACAGTGCTCTCTACGACTAGGACCTGCTGAGGATCATAGGATCTGGGTCCCTGTGCCAACATGAATGTACTAGTTTTAGTACTACAACTATGGCTCTATATTGTGATCCTCAGATACCTTCTATGCTCAAGTTTTGTTGGGGTTTTTAAATTTTTTTTTAATTTAATTTCTTTTATACTTGACAGTCCAGGGAAATTAGAGAACATGAATCAGCCTTCATTTAAAGTAAGGCATGGCAGTACTTTCTACAGATGATGCCAACTCCTGTGAAATAACTCCAATTTCTGAGTATTCACTGCTTATAAAGATACTGATACTTGTCTGACTTTTTCCTGTTAGAGTATTCCAAGTGTGATAACTTGAGATTTAGTACATCATTATCAGAAAGCTTTTTCCTTTATTAACTTTATTTCTGGTATCAGTAGTGTAATTCTAGATCATATCATAATATTGTGATTTTAATATGCTTAATGCTTAGGGTTACTTTAATTACAGTCTGTTTTATAAGTATTCTCTAAATATATTTATGAACATACTTGTGGCTGTACTTAGGGTCAGGTGTTTGCAGGTGTTTTTCCACTAAGGTAATCCAGATTAATTCTCTAGGTCTCATGTAGCCCATTTTTTTTATAATTTTCTGATAATTGTGTATTGAAAAGTATTCTTGAGGCTTCAGGCATATTTTATATGTTCTTAACTAAGCAAATTGCGGAGCCAGAAGTGAAACATAGTTGTAGAAGTCCCTGTGCCATCTTCCAAGTTTTCATGCCTGAAGTTGTTTAAAGTTAGATTACACTGGCCTTTGGTGTTGTTATTTAGTGATATGTTTGTTGAATTAAATTACAAATTAAGAACAGAGCAATAAATCAAAATATTTAGTCTTGTACTATTGAAACAGTTCTTTACTCAGAATCACAGTATTTCATCCAGATTCACTGGATTTTATGATAAAGTAATAAACTGCATTGCATTTCACTAAATGGAAGAATATATAATTCTACTGCTGAGTACCAACTTGTCTGTTATGTGCAAGGTGTTTCTTCCCTTTTTTTTCCCTTTTTTTCCCCTTTTTACAATATTCAGTTAATGCTAGTAACTGATAGAATTTTTTATGTTGTTTTTTAGGGTACAACAGATCTCACAACAGATCTCACAACAGAAGCAGAACAAGAAAGTTCCCAACTGACCTGAAAGCAATAAATATGTTTTCTACTCATTACTTGCTGATCCTGAAGTGTAATATCTTGGTTTATGTATTTTATGTAGAGAACTGATTTACATACCTGTTGTTTCAGTGTCTCTGCTTTCAGGGTGTTTGTATTGTCTGTTAATTTTGGCATTGATTCTTCCTGTTTTGTTCTTCAAACATTTTAGCATGGCTGACATGGAGGAAGAAAACTGCAATGGAAACAAAACCAGCAAATATATTTTCTACTTATTGCCTATTGATACTTGAAGTGTAACCATAATAAATATAGATATAATTAATGTGTCAAGATTAATTTGGAGTAGATGTTACAACATGATAGCCTAAATCAATATTAAAAGATTAAAATATTGTTGAAAAAAGATCTGCCAAGAATTTGAATGGTTTCTGATAGCAAAAGGGAATGCTCTACAGATTAGGAGATGGAGAGAGAGTTCTGCACATCAAACTAGATGCAAAAATCCAATCAGAAGATTTTCCAGTGGTTTTGGAAGACACAAATTACCAACTTGTATGTGCAAGGTTTTTCTTCCCTTTTTTTCCCCTTTTTACAAGATTCAGTTAATGCTAGTAACTGATAGAATTTTTTATGTTGTTTTTTAGGGTACAACAGATCTCACAACAGATCTCACAACAGAAGCAGAACAAGAAAGTTCCCAACTGACCTGAAAGCAATAAATATGTTTTCTACTCATTACTTGCTGATCCTGAAGTGTAATATCTTTTTTCTTCCCTTTTTTTCCCCTTTTTACAAGATTCAGTTAATGCTAGTAACTGATAGAATTTTTTATGTTGTTTTTTAGGGTACAACAGATCTCACAACAGATCTCACAACAGAAGCAGAACAAGAAAGTTCCCAACTGACCTGAAAGCAATAAATATGTTTTCTACTCATTACTTGCTGATCCTGAAGTGTAATATCTTGGTTTATGTATTTTATGTAGAGAACTGATTTACATACCTGTTGTTTCAGTGTCTCTGCTTTCAGGGTGTTTGTATTGTCTGTTAATTTTGGCATTGATTCTTCCTGTTTTGTTCTTCAAACATTTTAGCATGGCTGACATGGAGGAAGAAAACTGCAATGGAAACAAAACCAGCAAATATATTTTCTACTTATTGCCTATTGATACTTGAAGTGTAACCATAATAAATATAGATATAATTAATGTGTCAAGATTAATTTGGAGTAGATGTTACGACATGATAGCCTAAATCAATATTAAAAGATTAAAATATTGTTGAAAAAAGATCTGCCAAGAATTTGAATGGTTTCTGATAGCAAAAGGGAATGCTCTACAGATTAGGGGATGGAGAGAGAGTTCTGCACATCAAACTAGATGCAAAAATCCAATCAGAAGATTTTCCAGTGGTTTTGGAAGACACAAATTTAACTTTGTGATGCCATAGACAGATGCTCTAGAGACCTTGTCTCTTAGAAGTCATGAGATGATTTTTGTAACACTAGGTGTTTTCTCTAGGCTTTATAATAACCTTTTTTTGTGTATTGTGTGACACTAGGTAAGCTGCATCTGCCTGTCACCTTTGATTAGTCAAATTTTAAAATCTTTTCTGCATTTGTCTTCAATTTGCAAATCAAGAAATATCCTTATACCCTTATCATGGATATTCCAGTAAACTGATTTTGCCAGTTTGATTATATATGTTAGTAACATTAAAATAGTATCATTTTAAGGACATGCTCTAAGGTATTAGAGTTCTAATGACACCTATTATCACTGCATGCACAGCTTCTTGTGCCAGTCTCAAAGGGATGGAGTAAATGGATAAATAGATGGAGTTTCTCTTCTGAGCCAATATGTATAACTGAATCTTGTTATTTAGATTTAAATTTTCAAAAATTGATAAGTAACTTGTGTCCATTTACATTTTATGTCCAATCATGCTGACTATGAAAATTTCAGCCTTCAAATTTTAAGACAGTGTTTTAAAACATGGAAATAATTCTAATTACTCCTTTTGACAAGTGGCTTTTGCTTTCTATCTTCTCACAGTATTTCTCTCTTTGATTTTGTTACGTGTGTGTCCACTAGAGTGCAACCTAAATAAACACACTGGAGTTGTCAGTTACAACCCATGAAAACTGCAACGATTTTTGTCATTTTGTTTCACCTTATTTTTAACAGTGACTTTCTCTTTGTGATCTTGCAGTAGGTTTTCTTTCATTCTGCATTTTCTGTCAAGATAGGAATTAAATTTTTGGATGGAAACTTCTATCAGAAAATTGCTTAGCAAGGAGTAAAATAAAATGGTAGATTCCAGCTAAACTGTTCCTTTGCTGGTATGTACAGGAAAGTTTTGTTTTTCAAGTGTTACTTATAGGAATTTCCATTTTTTTCAGGATTTGATGTGCATAGACCTAGTGCATTATTCCCATACTACAGCTTTATAGGAAATCTTATCTTAGATATAGGACAAGAGGGTAAACAGTTCTTGGCTCAGTGCTTTCTTAAGGTGCAAACCAGTCTGTAGGTAACTTGGAAATGTAGTTCACAATAAAGATGACTTCTTCATGGATGTCTAAATCTGGGGGAAACTAAGGCAGCTTAAAATAATTTTTGCCTTCTCTTTCTGAACTTTTGCCTTCTTTGGAGTATAGCAAGCTAAAGCCTGGGACCAGAAGAGACCAGAAGGTAACTGTTTTAGTTACTGCATATGATGTAATTTCAGAAGTGTTAATACAATTTAACCTCTGCAAAAAAATCAAAAGTCGTATAGTGAAAAAAAAAGCAGCTACCTAATGTAGCTTCAGTTACAGCTTACACTCCCTTTGAATATGTTTTTGTGGAATGAAGGAGATGGAATTCAGAGACTGTTGATGAAAACTGTCACTGAAAATAAGGTGCTAAATACTGGCAGAAGATGTATGAAATTGCTCTTATTCTGAAGAAAGGAAAAAGGACAATCTTATTTAGGCTGCTGTCAGACCACGTACAGACCCTTCAGAGAACGTGCTGATAGCAATGTGCCTAATCCCAGCTGTTCTCATTCCAACAATACCAAAGCATAAGGATGAAAAGAGATATGAAGCCCAGAATAGGACAAAATGGTTCAGATTATCAGTCTGCTCACAAAGATGAAAACTCAGCTCTGCAATGCGAGAAGCGTTTTTTGTACAAGGAGAAATACATGTTGCAACTAGCACATTTGATTGTTCTTTTTAAACAGAACAGGCTTCATTAGGTTTGCAGTCCCCTTGCTTATGATGGATGGTTTTTCCTTCATAGTCTAGAGGAACTAACTTATCTTTTTGTAAGCAAAAGCTTTATACAGTAATTTACTATTGGTAATGAGAGCCAAATGAATTAGTCTGGATCAAATGTAAAATTGAATTCCTCTGAACTTTGCTAATCCAGTTTACTCATATTTAAGTCAGCTATTAATTGCTTTACTTCTGTCAAGTTTTTCCTGTACTTAGGTTAGATAAAGAACAGTGTTGTCTATTGACTACAGTTAGAAAAGAGTCTAAACCTGTTATTTGCTGATAAGGACTGATGTATTTTTTAAAATATCTTACCAGTACACTTGTTTGCTTTTTTGGTTTTGTTTTTGTGGGGATTTTGTTTGGTTGGGGTTTTTTTTGCTTTGGTTTTGTTTGGGTTTTGGGTGTGTTGGGGTATTTTGTGGAGGTGTGGGTTTTTTTGGTACGTTGGTTTGGTTTGTTGAGGTTTTTTTACTTTTGTTCATTTTCTGGCATTACCAGTATAAATCTTCCTGCAGTCATTGTACTTTAAACTTGTGTTTTTGTTACTACCCATATAATGGAAGAAGCTATATTATTAATGCAGTCATTGTACTTTAAACTTGTGGGTTTGTTACTATCCATATAATGGAAGAAGCTATATTATTATAAGCATTTAGATAGATATTTGGCTAATACTAGTGGCAGAAAGGCCAGGTAGAGGAAGGTGCCATTAAATGGAGCTGTCACAGTGTAGCAAACTTTTTAAGAAACAGACTCATTCCCAAAATTTGAGAGCTCTCAGATGTATTTATAGCTTAAATGCTGTGAGTCTTCCCTTTTAACCTGTACCTTCTAGAATCATGATCATAAACCAAAATCAGTGTTCAGCTTTGATTAAAGAGCAGAATTTTTGTAATTTATACTATTTCACTAGGACCCATGTGAAGATAATGAGTGCTTCCATTTTATCTTCAGTTGCAGGTCATCCAAAATCAATGGCCAAAAATGTGTGAAGATACTGAGTGCTTCCATTTTATCTTGAGTTGTAGGTCATCCAAAATCAATGGCCAAAAATTGAAACTGTTTTATTATTAGTACCAGGCATGTTTGCATTATCACCTGAAAGTAAATCCACAGGCATATGGCCGAGTAATGTAATAAGTAGGGAAGGTTGCTGTTTGGTTCTTGCTGGTTAATCTTATTTGAGTTATCTGTTACAAAGGCTGTATTGATGTCTCTGTACTGATACAGAAATGTATACTGTCTATTACAAAGGCTGTGTTGATATCTCTGTACTGATACAGAAATGTATACTTCACTAAAAATCCAAATTTTCCCCATTATTTTGCATCTGGCCTAATTCAAAATTTCAGTGTACTTTAAATGATGATGTGAAGCTTGGGTTTGATTTAGAAAAAACCCCACATTGACATTTAGGCATATCATACCAAAATTGCCTGAATAATCTTAACCTCTGTAAGGAGTATTTAGAAGGCTTAGGAATCTTTTAATGACCTCTCCAAGGAGATTTTGCCACTTTCTGCATGTAGTCATTCATGGATCTCAACAGAATTTGCTATCATAAAAGTTGTTGGATATTTTTTCCCATAATCTTGGGAAAGTAAGTGTGAAAAATATGTGACTTTAGTTTGCTGAAAGAACCCATAGGTGTTTGAGTTAAGCAAATTGTTTTCTGAACAAAAAAATAATATTTTATTCAGTGGTTCCTCTATCATTTAAACATAGTCCAGCAGATTCCAGATAAAGAAATTAGTTTTTCCT